GCCTACTCTATACCAGGCCCTATGCTACGTGTTGGGGTATAGAAAGATGAACAGAATAGTTTCTGCTTTGAAGGCTTATAATCTAGTAGGCACAGCTGAATGTCAAAAATGAATGCAATAAAGGGTTTTAGATGCTGGAAAAGTGAGAGCTCAGAGGAAGATGGAGGCTGGGAGATGTGAGATCAGGGTGCCACCATGGTTGTGTAACTCATCCAAGATACCCTCTCTAGGACCAGCTTCCTGAAAGCAGCAGCCCAGAGTCCATAAAACAACTTAGGCTTGTTATAGTGCAGGGCTGCCGTGATTCATGATCCAGGTTGTTCACTGCACAAGGATGCCCAGCTGAGGAGGAAATGGGGGCTGAAATGCAGCCCTCTCTTTGCTCCCCAAAAACGTATGGCCACGTGAGGGTCTGTGTCTGCCCAGGGGAAGAGAAACAGTCTTCTAATTCAGACAGAGGCATTGTTTGGGCAGGCATTGGCTCTGCGATCACTTGATAGTTATAAAGCTTTTTCACATGGGTATCTCACGTGATGTTCTCGACACCCGCAAGCAACGTGGCAGATGAGGAACAAACTCGGATCCAGAGAAGTTTAATGACTTGCTCAGGGTCACAAGGCAAGTAAGTGGCAGAGCTGGGACCCTGTGCTTCTTTTTCTTCCCTTGCTGCCCATATCACATCATGCTGCCCATATGATTTCCGAAGGTCTTGTTCATCTGGTTGGAGCTCCTCTTTCTCCCCCTTGGTACGAAGCCCAACATGTCTCCGTAGCAGAGGCAGAACTCAGACGTTGAAGGGAGCGGAGTGTTTCAGTGCTGCCGGGCCCCCTTGCCCTGCCACACATCTCACTGCAGCTAATGAATTGCTAATACAATTTTCTAGATAATTTTATTTCCATAGTCCCACATTTTAATGTGTTTCCAAAAGCTAGCATTTATTTGCTTAATCTCCCAGTGTAATAGAATCTGCCCTGACTCATCATACATGCGAACAATCAGCAAGGCAGAAACGGCAGCAAATTGTTTAATAACTCAAATCTAGTCTCTAGATTTTTAACTTACATGCACCAATGGCTTTCCTTGTGTCTCATCCACTTCTCCCCCGCCCTTTCCTCTTTTTCTTTCTTTCTTTCTTTTTTTTTTTTAATACTTTTCCATCATCACAGCTGTTGGTCTCCAAGCAGAAGAATGGATTAAGTGGGTGCAGAGTCTCAGAGCCCCTGGTCTTTCCCTGTGGGCTGGGGTTAGTGGATAAGTGACCAGGGAGAGCCCCTGTGCCTGTGGCATGTCCCGGAAAAGGGAGGTGGGCCATTGTAGGGACAGTGTCACATTTCCTTTGCAGGTTGTGAACCTGTGACTTCCAGCCTGTTGGCCAGGTACAGACCTGGCCATCTGGGACTTTATGTGCAAAAGTCTTCCCATTCTAGCCCAAGCCCTGGGTCCTGATTTTGGCTCTCCACCCCACCCCCTGTCCTCGCAGTCTCTTCCCTGATCTGGTCCCCACCCTTCCCCTGGTGACAGCACATATGCCGTCAGCCCTCTCCCTGCTCCCAGCCACTGCCACTGTGTTCGTGCCCAGAGGCCCTGCCTTTAAATACAGGTTGGATCACGCTGGCACCACCCGTCTTAGTCAGTCGGGGCTGCGATGACACATAGACTGGGACTGGGTGGCTTCTAAACAACAGACATTTATTTCTCACAGTTTTGGAGGCTGGGAGATGTGAGATCAGGGTGCCAGCATGGTTGGGTTCTGGTGAGGGTCCTCTTCCAGCTTCAGACGGCTGACTTCTCACTGTGTCCTCACGTGGTGGAAGGGGCTGGCTAGCTCTCTGGGGCCTCTTTTATAAGGACACTCATCCCATTCATGAGGGTTTTACCCTCATGACCTAATCAACTCCCAGAGGCATCACCTCCTAACACTGTCACCTTGGGGCTTAGGATTTCGACTTAGGAATTGGGGGTGAGGGGACACCAACATTGGGACCATAACAACCCCTTGTCCTTTCATGGCACTGCATTGCCTGGAGCATGGGGGCAGTCCGCCCTACCTAGCGTGTGTGATCCAACCCCCAGCACCTCTACAGCTTGTCTCCAGGGCAGGTAGGGCCCGGCGCTCTGTCCCTGCCTGCTCTGAAATGTGCCCGCAGCGTCTCCTTGGCCTGGCCCGTGTGCCCCGCCTTCTGGTCCTTGCTTCCCAGGTACTTGTTTCCTCAAAGCCCAGCTCAGAATCTTCTCTGGAGCCCTCTGGGAGTCACCTGGCTTATCCTCTGGATGGTTGCTGACTTGTCGGCATCCCCCACTGGTCTGGGAGCCGGTTCTCCTGCTGGGTCTCAGCAGGCTTCTGGTCACCTAGCTCAGTGCTATATGTGGTAGCGGTTTCAGTGAATCAGCTGAATGGACATGAGGTGGGCTCAGGCCATCCTGAGAAGTAGGGACGGCGCAGTGGGCAGCTTTGGGGGGCCTTGGGAAGACAGGAAGGCAGAGCGTTGCAGGGTTCCTAGCAGGGGTGCCATTCATGTTCCCTGTGACCCAGGTTCCTTGCATGCTGGGGAGCTCAGAGGATGCATGGAAGGAGAAGCCTTGGATCTTAAAGGGCATGGCTTGTCCAGGCAGCTGGCTTCATCTTACTGATTTAAGGCAGCTGTTTGAACACCTGGCCTAATCGGGGCTCTCTGTGGGATGGGGGTTAAGGGCAGGGAGGGGATCAGTGCTGGGGGCCTCAAATTAAAACAGCAGGGGCTGCCATGCACACAGTGTGCTGCAGTTGGACTCCACTCCTGTGCCGTGCTGGCCTGGTGGGGCGGGACCTCGAGGGACTCCCCGTCAGCCCTGGGGTGCTGCATCTGCCAGGCGGTCAGACCACATCCCTTGGTGTGTCCCCTCCATCAAGTGGAGCCGAGCACCCACTCGATACCTCCCAGAGAGCTTGCTGGCTCCAAGCAGCAGGTGGAAGGCCTCAAGAGAGCTGTGCCTTGTGACCCAGCCCCAGCTTCCTATCTATTCCCCCTGGCCCAGGGTTCTCGAGCCATTGCTGAATGCTCTGGTGCTCTGTACTGTCCCTGCTGGGCCTCTTCTCGGGGAAGCCCAGGGACAGATGTCTGGCCCAGAGGTAAAATTGGACCCAGCCATGTGGTTTCTGAAATCAGACAGACCAAGTTATTTCCACATCCCAACTCTGCCTCTGACTGTGTGACCTTAGGCAGGTTATTTAATCTCTCTGTTTTCCCATTTGTCAAAGGGGGATAAGAGTGCCCGTCTTATGTAGGGTTGCAAGTTTTAAACGAGATGACAAGGTAGATGAAGCACTGAGCACAAGGCCTGTATTCCCTCCGATTCAGCCCTCCTGACTGCAGGGGGGATGGGCGTGGCTCCGGGGGCCTGGACGTCAGTGTCTGCAAAGGGAGGGGACGGGGCGGGTGTGAGGGGCAGAGGAGTGGAGGGAGCAAGAGGCGGGCCGTGCCTTCCCTCGGGTCCATCCCAAAGCTGGCCGTGAGCAGGACTGGGGTGGCGAGGACCAGACCTCCCACTTGCCGCCCCCATGCGTAGGCAGGAAAGGCAGCGAGACTCTTCCTGCCTTCCCTTCTCTTCACCCTGACTCCACACCACGCGGCCCTGGCTTCCAGCAGCCAAAGCTCTGGCCCTCCCTACACTCCGGACTGGGTTGACGTGCACCAGGCCTGTCCACCTTCCCTTCATGTGTCCCTCACACGGGGACATTCCCAGATGCCAGCACAGAGAGGCATACAAAGGAGCCCGCAGTGGGGCTGATGTATTTGGAGAAACTGAGTCCTTGATGGCGGGCAGCGAGCTGCCAGTGAGGACGCAGACGACATGGTTAGAGACTTCCTCGTGGGGCACTGCAGCCAGAAAGGTGATGGCTCCAGAGCAGCATTGGAAGGGGACAGGTAACAGAGCAGCCTGTATTTGTGGGGGCCTGTGGGGTATCTATGCAGCTGACCAGCACAGGGAACAACAGCCAGACAGAATGGAATGAAAGTCTCATATCACTCACTAGCTTAAAATCCTTCAACAATTGCCCATTGGGCTTAGGATGAAACCTACAGATATTGACATGGTTTTGAAGACCCCACATGACCTGGTCCCTGCCTCCCTTCCTCTTGGCCTCCCCAGCCACGTAGTGCCATTCCTCTGTCTGATGCCCCCACCCGCCACATTTCTTTCCAGCCCAAAGTGTTGGCGGACACTCTTCTGCCTTCTGGATGCCCCCTTTGATGATGAGAGCAGGGACTTTGTTCTGTCTCCCATGGCTACATCCCCAGTGCCAAAAGGAGAGTCCTACTAGTAGTAAATATCAGGTAATATTTGTTGAATGCATAGATCCTTCAGATTCGAGCTGCAGTGAATGGAGAAGTGGTTAAAAGAACAGCGTCCGTAGCTGGCCTCGGGAGAGGATGAAAATCCAGGCTGCCTGGGTAGGAATCCTAGCTCTGCCACTTATGAATTCCGTGAACTTTGCACGAGTTACTTAATCTCTCTGTGCCTCAGTTTCCTCATCTGAAGGGTGAGGATCATAGAGCCTACCTTTTGGAGTTGTGGGTTTATATTCGACATATTAGAACAGCAGCTGGCCATGTTATCTCTGTTACTGTTACACCTCACGGGGCCCACGCTGGCTCCCCACCTCCTGCCCCAGACTCTGAAGAGTCCGTCTGACACGTGACTTAGTACCCCGCCTTCTCCCACGTGGCGCCCGGCACAGCTGCACGTTCACACTGGCTGTTGCGGTGTGTTTGATTAATGTCTTTCTCCCACTAGACTTCAGGGTCCAGAAGGGCAGGACGTGCGTCAGTTTTGTCCACCGCCGGGACCACCTACTGGGTGCTCGGTCGGCGTTGCATAGCCCAGGCCGCCTCTGGATTTGCCCCTGAACGTGAGGGTCTGGGGGGGCCAGTCCCGAAGCTGGCGCGCGCTCTACGTGAACAAAGAATCGGCCTTGCGATTCCACCCGCCTGAGGCCTCCCCTCTCCTGTCTCCCACAGGCACGGACATGGCTGTCTTCTGTCTGCTGTGCGGGAAGCGGTTCCAGGCGCAGAGTGCGCTGCAGCAGCACATGGAGGTCCACGCGGGCGTGCGCAGCTACATCTGCAGCGAGTGCAACCGCACCTTCCCCAGCCACACGGCGCTCAAACGCCACCTGCGCTCACACACAGGTAGGCCAGCCCAGGTGATGGGTGCACCAGGGTCCCCGGGAGCCAGTCTCTGACTCACCTCCAACGTGGAGGTGCCAGGCTGGGTCAGCCCCCAGCCCTTCTGTGCTCAAGGGTTGAACATGGAGTGGCTTCTTGTAGTGCAGTTGACAGTCCTTCTCCCAGTCCCCTCCTGTGGCCCAGCAGTCTGCAATCTTTCCGTGCTCGGCACAGAGGATGCTCGTTAAAAATGCAGCTTCTTGGGTCTCATCCTCAGAAGCTGTGATTCCGTGAGTCCAGGACAGGATCCAAACCACAGCATTAGCAGTAAGTATTCCCAGGGGATTCGGATGCAGGTGGACCCAGAATGCATGTCGAGAAGAACGGACCTGCTGGTCTCTTGCCCCACCCCTGCCTCCACACACGTGGCTGAGGTCAGCTGCGGGCTTGCAAGGGCCTGTTGAAGAAGTGGCCCCACTTTCTCCACAATAACAGGAGGCCTGCACTCGGGCCCTAGCCTTGTTTAGGGAGGACAGGGAGGGTATTTGAACAAGGAGCTGTGAAATACTCCTGCTCAGCCAGTCCCGACGATCGGGTGGGAGAGGGGTTACGAGTCAAGGAGGCTTGGCCAGCTGCCCAGGTCCTGGCCACTCCCTGCCACTAGCCTCTTAAAGTTTGGAGGATGGGACACTTGGTCCCTGAGGGCCAGAGGTATTTGCTTTCCCGTAGCAGCCTTGGGTCTTTCCTTAGCAGGGGAATGGATGACTTAAATTCCTTCATTTCTCCAAGACAAAACTGAGGCTGTGCTGACTGTCGCAGGGTAAAGGAATGCCCATGTCTGGGTCTGCAGGTGTCTCTGCCTGTGCGTGTTCTGTGCTGTGTTTGCGGAGGGCAGGTCTCCATCTGGGTATGTAACAGAGTATGTGCTCGTGTCTGTTGGAGAGGGTATAAAAGTATAAAAGCCTCTGTGTGCCTCAGAGAGGAATGGCAGGTCCCCTTCTCTCTCATTCCTGAGAGTCTTGTCACAGCTCAGGGATTGAGTGCACAGGCCAGGCCTTGCCTGGGTGGCAGGCTCTGTGAATAAGGGAAGGCCGTACTTACCATGCACCGGGCTGGCCTGTCTGCCAGCTGTGGCATCCTCACCAGGCAGCTGCCTGCCTGGGCTGTCACTTCCAGACGCCCTTCTGCTCAGGGCAGTGCATTGCCCTAGCACCACCAGATTGCTCAGAACTACTTGGAACTGCTGGGATGGGACAGGGTGAGGTCCCAGAGGGTAGGGTCAAATCAGTTGGCTTCGTGAGCCTTGAAGGATCCCAACCCTGCTGAACCCACCCAGGATACACCCTGCTCTGCCTATGCCACCTTCTAAGAGCTCAGACAGCCAAATGTCACATGCCCTTGTGTCAGGCATGGCTCAGATCCGTGGGGAGGGGCTATTTCCAGAGTTCGAGAGAAGCTCTTGCTTATTCTGGGAAACAAGGAGCATGTGCGCCGCCCATGCACACACACAAACACCCATCGGTTTTCGCACCAGCGAGGCGCTGCGCACACGAGCCATATACAGGCTGTGCACACCCCACACACACAATGGCTCATTAATATTCCGTTGTTCTTGGCCCATTTGCTGCTGGGGCCGGGTGTTTAGCATCGGCAGCTGTGTTTGGTAGGTTAGTCCAGCCGCGCTCTTGGCATTGACGGATCCCTGATTCACACGGCTCATCATATAATAAACTCTCAGCTGTGCCGGAGGGAGGGGCCTGGAGGGAGGGGCCTGAGGAGCCGACGGGATGGGGCTGGGGTGGGGAGGACGACACTGGGCTTGGCCAGAGCCGGGGCAACCGCCAAGGAAGGACAGATTGGGGGTTGGGGGGTCACAGGTGCACTGTGCAGGCCAGAGGGGGCTCTAATTAGTCTCGTTTGTCCTGCACTTAATGTCAAGCTCATTAAAGAGGCTACAGAGTTAATCAACATACCACAAATTGGATTTTGAGTTCTGCAGCCAGTTTTGTGTACATTATGGCAACACTGACACGATTAACCCTCGGGGGTGAGGGTTTCAGGCCAGGTGCTCACCATGCTTCAAAATCTGGGTGGGTTGGCGACTCACTTTCTTTCTTCTAAGTTCTTTTTATTCCTTTCCCTGGGCAGACGCAGGAGATTTCCTATTTAAACTCATTTAACATGGGATCCACTTCCTAATTAAATTCATAAAAAAAAACTGATCAAACAAACCCCTCTGTCTTAACCCTTTGTTTTTTAAACTCTCGGGGCCCTCCTCTGGAGGGGAAAGGCACGGGCAACCGCCCCCCCTCGCCGCCCTCCCCTCCCGGCTGGGCGGCTGCCGATGTACGTTTTAATTACCAGCTCCGGCTGAAGTCTCACGTGGCCCCGGCTTTATTTATTTATTTATATCTTAATGAGGATACTGAATCTTTGATTAAAGTCGTAATCGTTGCTGATCTGGTAAGGAGGGGGAGTTGGATGTCAGACCAGACGGGGCTACGAGCGCAGACACACAGAGAGAGTGGCACCCGGGCACATGCGCACACAGACCGCCCCGCACTCTGTTAGACACACAGCTAATTAGTCCTGCCAGGTCTGCACGGGCCTCTGCTCCCCCTGGCTCTAGTGGGGCTGGGTTGCCAGGCAGTCCCCCTAGCTCCAGCAGTGAGGACGGGCAGGTGCAGATTTCCCCAGCAGAGAACCCTAGGACTCGGTCCATCCCCAGATCTGCACGTGGGGGACTTGCCGGCCGGCCGTGCCTCTGAGCCAGGGCAGTGCCCCACGGATTGGGGTGCCCTGGGGTCAAGGGGCGGCTCTGCCCTCTGAGCCTCTCGAGTCTGATACCTCGATGGAGGCCCTGCCCCGCCCCCTGTGCCTTCAGTGCTCCTTGCAAATCTCCACCCTTGGGGGGGGGTAGGGGTCAGCCAGTGACACACCCCGGCACATCCACTCCCCACGGAGCCCTAAAAACCCTTCAAAGCCATCGGAAGAGATGAGAATTTATGTGGGTACAGGGGCCTGCCTTGGGGGCAGGGGGAGGCTTGGTTAGCGGCCTGAGGACGGGAGAGAGAGGAGAGAGTAAAATATCATTTTAAAGAGGAAGTGAAGGCGCAGGCATGTGAGTCTATAACGAGAAGGACAATTTATGCCCAGGCACGAGCGCAGTTTGACATGGGGATAATGAAAAAACGTAGGTCATTGTGGATGACTTAAACCTTCAGCAGCTGAAGAAAATGTATGAAATGCAGAGGACATTACACGGTTGGCAGCCCCGCACATCTGCAGAGGGACAAGTGAAATACAGTGGGCCATTCTTTACCATAAACTGTGGTTGTTGGAGATGCAGCCCAGAGAAATTGTAATTACAGTGACAAGACGAATCAGCGATATTTAAATATTCATGAACAAAGTCTGGGGTGATCAATCTATCTTTATTGTCTGCGCCTTCACTCCCGTAATAAATAAGTAGCTGGAGTCCTCACCTTTCATCCCCCGAGCCCCCCACTTTGGGTATAAAATGCAAGATGAGTAAATACACACCCCAACTTCTCCCACTCTGGGGATTTAAGAGCAAGATGCCCAGAAAGGAGGCTGAGGGGCCTAGATTCTAGACCTAGAAAAGACAATTCTCCCCAAGTTTCCTGTACCCAACATTTCCTGAGTATCTGTCTGGGCCATCACTGTGCCATGCACTGAGGCTATAAGGATGGATAAGGCTTGCTTCGTGCCCTTGAGGTGCTTTCATTCTAGGGGTGTGGTGGGCATGCCAGTAGACAAGAGTATATAGCATGTCAGTTAGCAGTCTGATAAGTATATAGGGTCCAGACTCAGGAACCAGACCTGAACTTGAATCCCAGCTCAACTGCTTACTCACTGTTTGACCTTGGAGATGATGTTGAAGCATCTCTGAGCATCTCATTTTTCTCATCTGTAAAATGAGAGCAATCTTTCCTTAAGATTACCATGATCACGTGATGCGATCTGTGTGGAGTTCTTAGCAGAGTCGTGAACACTCAGCAAATGTGGGCCACCTGCATGTGAGAGTGACATACAAATTATACTACTTCTAACAAAAGAACAAAATGCTAGGCGTTTCTTCTCTTTGGGGACAGAGAAAAAAGGGTAACTCATTCCACCTGGGGGACTAAAGGGAAGCTTCCAAACAGGGGTGACATTTGAGCTGGGCTTTGAAGGATGAGCAGGAGTTCAACAGGGAGAGAAGAGGAAATCAAGCAGAGGAAACAGCTGAGTAAAACAGTGGAGGAAGGAAAGAGCAGAAGGTATTTGGGGGACAATGAGAAGTTCCCTAAGTTGGAAAGATATTTTTTTTTTCTGAAGGTAGGGGAGTCGAGCTGGAGTGACTTTTACCCTTGACCTAGAGGAAGGGGAGAAGAGGCAGTTTGAGAAGCAGGAGGGTAAGGTCCCAAGGCTGCTCTATTGCCATGGGGGCCTGCTTTCTGGGGACTGCTGTTCATTCCTGAACCACATGGGCTCTCTTTGCCCTGGACTGGCCCTTGCCTGCCGATGAGCACTGGGCCACAGGAGAGTCTGGACCTGTGTGAACGCGCGTACTACCTGTTCATGCTGTGGGGACCGGCAGAGGCTGTGGATCCTTAAGTCATCTTTGGGGGTGGTGGATACAGGCATTGTCATCCTGCCGAAGCACAAATGTGCCCTACTGTCCCCTGAAGAGGGGGCAGGGAGAGGCAAGGGCCTGATCCAGCCCCTTGTGTCTAACAGGTGATCACCCATACGAGTGTGAGTTCTGTGGCAGCTGCTTCCGGGATGAGAGCACACTCAAGAGCCACAAACGCATCCACACGGGCGAGAAACCCTACGAGTGCAATGGCTGCGGCAAGAAGTTCAGCCTCAAGCACCAGCTGGAGACGCACTATAGGGTGCACACAGGTACTGAGGGCCAGGGAGGGCACCTCGGCTGGCTCTGGGACCTGGTGGGGTGGGGTGGGGGCAGGAGGTCTCCCAGAGGAGCCCAAGTGAGGATGGTCCAAGGCCAAACCACAGAGAAGTCCTTTTAAGGCCTGAGTGCCATTACCTATATATCAAGGCCAAGGCAGACATTGCTAATCAATCACAGCACCCTCTCCCGTGAACGCAGACCAGCCCTCCAGACAGCCATGCCAGTAGTTCCGAGAGGAAGTGCAAGTTGATGGCTATTTGTGAGTACTGAATTAGGGTTAAGTTGGCCTGATGAGCTGAAAGTATAGGATAGGGTGGTTGCATGTTACTCAAGGGTTAGAGTAAGAATTAGGGTGCATTGAATTAGGTAATAATTATGGTCAGGAAATTGTAAAGTTAGATCGAGTTTGTTTTTGAGATTAGAGGAGCATATTTAATAACCCCTGCATATGTATAATGTTTTACTATCTCAAAGGGCCTTCACATTGTTTTCTTTTACATAAAAGAAATGTGAGCAACTGTTTTCCCTGGGGTCTGAAGACAGGACGAGTGGAAGGGACTTCCAAAATTTCCCATGTTGCGGGCAGTAGAGTATTGAATCTGGCCTGTACTTGCTTGGGAAAGCTGATTTTGCACATTTCTTCCCAACTTCAAGTTCAGTGACATCACCTGGGTTACTTAAAATTGGCCAGGGTAGGAGTATTCACAACACAGCAGTTGGCAAATGCTACCAGTCAGGGCTTTTAGGAGAGCCAGTTGTTGGGCACACAGCGCCAGCACACGGCTGGTTGGGGGAAGGTAGACACTCAAAAGGCCTCTTCTGACGATAAGAGGTGCTGGAGCCCGGCCAGCTAGGGAGCCTCCCCTGAGCAGGGGAGACGGCTGTCCTGTCCAGAGGAAGGGGGAGAGGCGACCTCAGCCAGGTCCTGCTGGCTGCCGTGGGAGGGGAGGGCTGGACAGAGGGAGCAGCGAGCTGTGCGTCGTCAGCTCTGTTTCCTCGCCTCCAGCTTGGGCCCACCAGGAGAGGATGGGCTGTTGCTGCGGACAACTACCATGACCCAGAGGATTTCCCAGAGCCCTGGGGTTTCCCTAGCCCCTTGTCGAGGATGTGACCTGGTGGTTGGATCATTAAATGCATTGGCAGTGACTATTGTAAATAGCTGGTCGATAGTTAGATCACTTTGGCTGTTCATTACTTCATTATTTGCTGGGGCCTCTGTGCAGAGGAGTATCGATGGCGAGATGGCTGGCCAGTTAATTACTGTATTGAAACAAGGTTCCCTAACATCCTCTGCTCAGCTCCAGGGCACTCCAGCCGAGGGGAGGTTGGGGTAGCAGGCGAGGGTGTGTCTGTAAACTCCCAGGTTCTTTGTCCATCGGGTCTCCCTGACCCCGGGAGGGGGGGACGGGGCGCAGGGTCCAGGACAAGTTCCTAGCGCTTTAGCAGGGTGGGTGGCTACCCCCAGAGGCAGCATGTTGGAAGGACTGTGTTCCCCAGATTTACCGGTACCCCAATCCCCACCATCTGTAGCCCTGAGAGACCTCCATCCATCTGCTCCCTCTGGATGGATTCGACCTGAAGAGCCATCCCCAGGGGCTCCCGGGGCCTTGCTCCCTCCTTTCTAGGCACTCATTTCCTTAATTAGGAAGGGCGAAGAGCATGCCTTTGGGAGAATTAACAATGGTAAGACAAGGGGCTGTGCTGGACAGTTCTGTAGCCACTAGCTACATGTACAGCCACATGTGACTGGTGGCTGCCCCTCCCTGTCCTCACTGTCTCCTGTCCCCTCCCCCAGGTGAGAAGCCCTTTGAGTGTAAACTGTGCCACCAGCGCTCCCGGGACTACTCGGCCATGATCAAGCACCTGCGGACGCACAACGGCGCCTCGCCCTACCAGTGCACCATCTGCACGGAGTACTGCCCCAGCCTGTCCTCCATGCAGAAGCACATGAAGGGCCACAAGCCCGAGGAGATCCCGCCCGACTGGAGGATAGAGAAGACTTACCTCTACCTGTGCTACGTGTGAAGGGCGCCCGGCCTGGAGCAGGGGCGGGGAGCGAAGGAAGAAGAGTTAGAGCGAGACGGAGTCGAGGAGGAAGGACTGTGGGGGAAAAAAAAAAAGGAAAAGAAAAAAAAAAAAAAGAAGGAAACCTGATAGCTGTTTGGCCTTGGATTCTCTCTGGGGCTCCAGGTGACCTGGATGCCAAGCCACTGCCCCTTCCCTGGGGGTCTCCGCCCCCCTTTCCCGGCTGGAGGTTTGCCTGATTTTCTGGGGTGGGTGTGGTTTTGTTCACTCAGATGGTGGCCTGTTTTTCTCCTCCCTCTACCCAGACCCTCCTTTTACGTCCAGAGATGGAGGCCAGGCAGTGGGCGAGAGGTCCTCCGGCCAGAGCCAGTCTCGGCCTGCCCGCCTTCCTCCCCCTGCCCCCTCAGAAGGTGACCCGAGGGAGCGGGAGGGGGCTCCCCTACAGATGGCGGACGGAGCTGGGTCACCGGTTGGCACTCACAGGGCAGCTCTAGTTTGCTGGGGACAGACTCGGGAGGGGAAGGGCTCTCTCTCTCTTCCCCTGCTCCGTCTGTCCCTCTGCTCTGCCCCCTCCAGTGTCCCCTTGTGGCCTCTGAGAGCCTCATGGCTCCTGCCCTCTGCCCCAGCTCTTTGCTCCTAGCCTTCCCGTGGCTCCCACCCTCCAAGTCCCGGGGGCTCCCAGCCCCCCACCCCCCTCCAGTTTCCCAGTGGGAAAGCTGGGTTGGACTCCAGAGCCAGCCTCCTGAGGACACGAAACTAAATAAGTCGAACACCCCGCCCTAGGCAAGCCCAGTCATGGGCAAGATTCCTGCTGAGCTGCTTCCGAAATGGAAGAACATAACAGCTAAATATGTAATATCCTTCCAAACAGAAACCCCCACAGCCCAGCGTCAGTCCCGGGGAGAAGGAATCCACGAAGGGGTTCCTGGTCCAAGGGACAGTTGTGGATGTCTGTTTCCAAGTGGGCCCTACACCTAGAGAAACGGACGTCCTGCCCAGGGGAGGGCTAGCTGGCCGGGGAGGGGGGGAGGGGAGAAGGTGTTGAGTCACCCTGGGGACCTCAGTAGGAAAACCCAGGTCCAGAGAGTGGCATGGAATTCCTGCCTCACAGGGCCCCTCAGCCCGCAGGGAGGAGGAGGAGGAGGAGGAGGAGGAGTTGAAAGCGCTTTGGCCTTGTGTTATGTTTTGCTTCTTTTCTGTGTCCCCTTTTAGCACATTGTACTTGAATTACCTCAGTTTTTGTGACCTCATGAGCTTTTTTAATCTCTGTATCTCTTTTTTGGTTGGGGGTGAAAGGAATGGGGAGGGCGTCCTTTTCTGTTTCTCGTATAAATTAATAGTAGTTTTTATAGACTTCAGCTGGCCGGGGCCTCCCTGTGCCCCCGGAGACTCACCTCCAGCTGGAAGGAGCTGTGTGCGGGAGCAGTTGACACTCAGGATCTGAACGTGAGGGCCGGGGGGACAGAGCAGGTGGGCAGGGAAGGGATGGTGCATGGTGTCTCAGTGTCCCCATGGGGCACTCGGGAGTCACTGTTGGCTCTGCCCGGAGTGTGGGGTCACCTGTGCCCAGCATCGGATCAGCCCAAAACGCTCTGGAAAAAAATCCCACCTTTCTTCCACGGGGTTGGTCATTCGGGTTTGAGGGCATGTGCTACTGAGATCCTTGCAACTGTGCGGCCCAGCGCTGTGTGCATTGCCATTGCCAAAACTGCCCTCTCTTCGCAGCTGGCCGGGCGCGATCAGCCTGTATTCTGTTGTGTTGGGTGGGGGTGTTATTTTTCTAAAAGCTACCTCTTATGTTTGTCCAGTCGTTCTTTTGTTCCTCGCCTGCCTCTGCTGCTCTTCCCCCCAGCCCTTGCCCCAAGCTCCCCCACCCTCCCCCTAAATTTTGGAAAAGCACATTTGCAATATTCGTGTTTGCTTTGGGACGGGCGCCCTCCGTTTCATCTCATGCTTTATGTGTAAGAGTTTTTATTATTTTGTTTGTTTGTTTGTTTCTTTCCTTTCTCTCACTGAGAAAGTTGTGGCTGCGTTCTGTGATCTTATTGGGTTTTTAAAAAAGTGGTTTAGGGAAAGCGGTTTTGGGGAGAAGGATTGTGAGGAGTATAGGGGAGCTGGAGGGATGGGTGCTGCTGTGACTTCCCCCCTGTCCCTCGGCCCCGTCCCTCCTGCCCTCCCCTTCAATCTCATCCACCAAATCTGAAGGCCTTAAAAATTGTATGTTGGGGGGATGTGAATTGGGGGACTGTGTCACTAGACTGTCGATTAGGGATCATGAAGTAGGGAGGATGCTATTTTGCAACTACAATAACGACATAGTGTTTTGGAAAGGAAGAAAAAGAAGTTAAACTTGAAATATGTGACTAGAACAGTTGTCATGTCTACAATGTGAAAGGAGTGAGCTCGTGTGGGGGAGGGGCAGTCTGTAAGAAATCATTATGCACTATGGCTTCCTTGCCCCTCCTCTGGGAAGAAGGGAGGACTAGCTGGCCCTCAGGGGACCGGTAAATCCCAGAAAACAGTATTTTTAACAGCAAGACGTCATTCAACCTGGGTGGGGAAGGAAAAGAAAAATCAAACTATTCCGTAGAACTAGCTGGCCCCCCTCCTGCCCTCCCCACTCAGCCTGGGTCCCTCCTCCCCATTCATTAAAAGCTGAGAGGGTTGAGCTAATCTTTACAAATTGTAATATTTTTGTAACATTTGTTAGTTCCTTTGTCAGTTCGAGTCCCGCAGAACCGTGCCCTTTCCTTTTGTAATGTGAATAGCAAAAAAAAAAAAAAAAAGACAAAAAATATTCACCACCACCACCACCAAAATATCCCTCTGTACGTGTGCGCGCGAGTGTGCTTTGTGTGTGCGGTTGTGTGTTAAATCATGCAGTATTGTCGTAATCTGGTGTTGCAGCATTAGATGGTACTAAGTCAGCACCTGCCTGTCCCACCCAAGCCCGAGGGCTCTGCAGATGCCAGGAGGGAGGGAGGGAGAGCTCAGGGGAGTGTGGCTTCTGAGGACACCTGCATGGGGATACCTCTTTACCTGTCTGTGCTGTCACCTCCACTCTCCGTGAAGATGCCGAAATGCAGGCCAACATGCCTCTTCCCCAACTTCCCACCCACAAAGACAAAACAATTCTAAAGTTGCCAAGGCCTTTTTGGCAAGGCCTAATGGCCAGGGGGCAGGTGAGGAACTATCTGATGGCTTTAGAGGTGTCTGGAATAAAAGGGTTGGGGCGAGTAGGAGGTTGGAGGTGGCTTTCTCCCGAGGTGAGAGCTTAGTATTGTCACTCCCCTCTTCTTTTGCCATCTGGCTCCTTCTTCGGCCACCTCGCTGCCTTTAGCTGTGGTACTGCTGGCTACCCTACCTGCTACTGCCTTATCCAGCATAGCGAAACTTCTCTAGCCTGGGAAGTCCAAGCCGGTTAATAGTCCCTTTCCCATGTCCAGCTCCTGCAAGTGCGCCCCTTAATGCTTTTGGTGACATTTCCCCCTCACTCCTGCTCTTTCCCTGTTCGCTCCTTCACTCATTCAAAGCATTAAAATCCTATGTGTATATAGGATAGACAAATATATAGAGATATATATATATATATAGCAAGAGAGAGATATAAAATAGTAAATATCATTGCTGCTTTGGGCTGCTTTGGAGGAGGAGGAGGAGGCCATGAATATGGGGAAGGCAGATCTGGGCACAGGGGTGGGTAGGGAGGCTGGGGAACCCAGTGATTCAGTACAATCCAGGGATGCAACGCGGGCTTGTTTAATCTTTGTGCCTGAACAGTTTTTCCGTGTTTAGAAAAAGAAAAAAAAAAAACTGCTGCAATTTTTCACAAGTGTATGGTACCTTTCTGGATGCTTGTACAACTGCTGTGGGTGGGAGAGGACCATCAGCTCACCTCCGTATGGGGAAGTGAGCAGAGCTGTGGCAGCCTTTGGACTCTGTCCATGAGGGGTGGGGGCGGGGCAGAGTTTTGGCCGATCCCCTGGCAAGCTGGACTAGGATGAAAGCGAGGAGCACCAGGATGTAAGACAGAGAAGCAGAAGAAGATCGGTGTCTGTTGATCGTGTTTCCTAGGCCTATTCTATAGTCCTCTTGCCCCCTCCCACCCGATCGCCCCTTCCTGGAGCTTCTGCTGGCCTGGCTGGAATGGCGGCACTTACCTGGGTGTTTCGGTGGGAGGATGGGGGCCCGGACTAACCCTGTGCGGTGGGACCGACCGGTAGAGCAAGAAGGCAGAGATGGCCGAGAGAGGGGCACAGGAGAACCAGGGAGGTTGGGTCAGGGGAAAGGGTGGGGAGAAAGGGGCGCAGGCCCCGCAGGCCTGGCAGCCAGCAGCTGCGGCCTCCCCGGGCCCTTGGCATCCCACTTCGCAGACAGGGTACCGGCCTCCCGGTGTGTATCATAGTATTTGTTCACATAGTGTTATGCATGATCTTCGTAAGGTTAAGAAGCCGTGGTGGTGCACCATGACATCCGACCCATATATATAAAGATAAATATATATATATGTATGTAAATTATAGCACTGAGGGCCCTGCTGCCCTGCTGGACCAAGCAAATCTAAGCCTCTTTGGTTTGGGTATTATGTTTTGTTTTTGTTATTTGTTTGTTTTTGTGGCTTGTCTTATGTCGTGACAGCACAAGTGCCAGTCGGATTGCTCTGTATTACAGAATAGTGTTTTTTAATTCATTGATGTTCTAGTTAATGTCTACCTCAGCACCTCCTCTTAGCCTAATTTTAGGAGGTTGCCCAATTTTGTTTCTTCAATTTTACTGGTTACTTTTTTGTACAAATCAATCTTTCTCCCCACCCCCCACCCCTCTTTCCTTCTCTCTCCCTCTCCCCCCTGCCCTCCCCTCCCCCCCATTTCTGTCCGTTCCACTTTCTCCCTCTCTCCTTCCTCTCGCCCCGACTCCTGCCCCACCCCAGCCTGCTCCCCAAAGTCGTGCTTGGCAGTCCTCATCTGTTCTAGTTCCGAAGCAGTTCACTCGAAGTTGTGCGGTCCTGGTTGCAGCTTTCCGCATCTGCCTTCGTTTCGTGTAGATTGATGCGTTTCTTTGTAATTTCAGTGTTTCTGACAAGATTTAAAAAAAAAAAGAAAGAAGAAAAAAAAAAACGAAAAAAAAATGAATTTACTGCTGCAGGTTTTTTTCTCTCTCCATGTGTCACTAAGTGAAGTTTGTGCCTTCTATAGCAAAGAGAATATTTTTTACATCCTACTAACAGTAGATTTTTTTGTAGTGAACATTTTTTGTATTTTTATTTATAAGTCTCATAAGAAAAATAGCAATGTTCAGTTGTATACCTTGAATCTGCAGTTAGAAGAGAATAAAGTTAATTCAGTTGTCTCTGGCTCGAAGTGTCTCCCCCATTTTGTTTTCTGAGGTATTCTGTCTTTCTTGGGTGGGCAGCGTGGTAGAGGAACTCACATTTCTGTCTCAGGACAGGGCAAGAGAAAGCTCCGTGTCACACCCATTCAGCCTTTATTTATGCGGCACTTTCAGGCCACATTTATAAGGCACATACCCACTCAATAACATATTTTTCTAATACCTTTTAGTTTAAGAAATTGTTAAATACATTAATATCATTTGATCCTTGGTATGACGTGCCAGGTATGCGTTTGCTCGTTACTCACTCAGCAAGACTACCTCGTAGCAGTTACTGCTGTCGGCAGTGGGAAAACAGCAAGGGACAAAACAGACAGACCCTTGCCCCCCAGACAGACCCAGACTCATGCCCCAGCGTGGAGCTGGCACGCTGGCAGGCCGCCGGGCCAGAACCCACTTGCCGTGTTGGGATAACTCACTCGGGATCACACAGCTGGTGAGCCGCAGTGAGAACTTAACACGCACATCTCCCGATACCAGGATGCCCAAAGCTTACTCTTACTCTTTACACTCATGACTTATTCCTAGCAGCTAAGCAAACTTTGGAAATTTCTCAACACAAAGCTTCCACCCAGGTAAAGGTCCCTGGGTCTGTGGCACCAACAGCTGTTGAGAAAGGAGACTGGAGCTGCTGGCCTTGTGCAGGGAGGGCTCGGGTGGGAGGTAGAGTCACAAGAACAGAACATCACCCAGAACAGAATAAAGGGTTTCCACACTCCCTGGCACAGCACCTGCCAACCCCGGTCTCATCGCCCTGTCCCTGGGCCAAGGCCTCTTCTCCGGCCCTTTCTCCTTTCCTCTTGCTGGGGATGGGAGCATTTGTAGCCACCAGTTCCACCCCACCTTAAGCATGGCGCTCGGCGCTTCTGCCTGCGGCCATCCCAGCTGCCTGTCTCTGACCCAAATGGTCCATGTCCTCACCAAGATCTAGGGGACACAAGCCATGATCGCAGCAGTGGGTCACTCCAGCGTGACAAACCCGTGCCAAGCATAACAGCTGACCTCCCTGCATTAGTGGGAGTCACTGGGAACCATCACTGTGTGCTGTCCCCACCCGAGTGCAGTCTGCCCGGCCAGCCCGCCAGGTGGGGGGTGGCCGAGGCCAAGGGCCAGGTCTGTCTGACCGTGGGGTGCTGAGCTGAGAACCACCTGGAGCTACAGTTAACTTGGAGGACAACCTTCCTAGGAAGAGGAACAGCCGTGGCACAGTGGCCTCCAGCAGCAAGAAGTCGGGTTCTCTGTCTGCACTTTCTCCTCTCCTTGCTCTCTGCTCTTCTCTGTTTCTCCCCAGCATTCCTCCCTCCTCTGGTCTGTCTTCCTCTCTCCCAATCTTCTCCTTTCTACTCCTCTCCGCTCCTTCCTTTCCCCGCCGTTATTTCTCTTGACGTTTCCTTTTGCTTCTCTGTCCCATGTCATTGTCCCTCTTCTCATATTTCTCATCTTGGAAAATAATCCTTGTCCAGAATTCTGTTTGTTTTGATTTGGAGTGGCTGCGTCCGCTCGCACACACCATCCGACTCTCTCTGCACACACACACACACACACACACACACACACACACATGCACACACACATAACACGCACACACATACACACGCACACACACGCTGCCCTCCGCCTCGCCCATCCCCCAGCGCCCTTCCCCTCCCTCGGGCCTCAGCTTTCTCTTGACAGATGGGAGGGCAGCAAGCACTCCCTCTTTAAAACAACATTTAATCGCCGTTTTCTGTTCTTGGACATCAAAGCCGGGGCTTAGGCGCTGCGCTGGGGTCGTGGCGGCCCTGGCTCTGGGGGAGAGGAGGTGACTGAATAGGGGCTGGGCTGAATGGGCTTTGTGTGACCGCGGGCCCTGCCAGCTTTACGTGCTCTTTGACCCAGATATGATCTCATGGAGAGAAAGGGGCCCTGGCCCAGCCAGCCTGAGAACGCTCCGCCGTGGCCTGCCTCCACCCCGCCTCCCTCCCCAGGACGAGCGGCCGCCCCCTGGCCCTGGCAACGGTGGGCAGTCTCCTCCAGGACAGGGCTCGCCACCAGGGCACGCTTCTGGGATCAGAGGAGGGGATGGGCAGCCAGGGCGGGGGCTGGGAAGGTGTAATGCGCTGCGGGGGGCTACAGGATGTGCTCCGGGAACATTGAGCAGGAGCTCCCCACAGGCGTGCCGCCCTTACCGGGCGCTCTTGGCCAAGGCTGCTCAGGTTCAGGTAGCGCTTGGGTCCCATTCGTAGCTCTCCTCCCTGTGTTTCTGCAGGGGCCACTGTCCTACCAGCTCAGCAATGGGAAGCTGAGGCGCAGAGCCAGCAGATGCTTGCTAGCAGCCCAAGTGAGTCGTGGCAGGTGGGGAGAGGGAGATGGCAAGCCAGGCCCAAGGCCGTCTCCATCCACCCAGCACTGCCTTCCCACCTAGCTGCCCGGACACCAGGAAGGTTACTGACCTCGGGGGCTCTGCCTCTGGCCAGGCCCTCCCTTGATTCCGTCCTCTGCTCTGCAAATAGCAGCAGCTAAAAGTCCCCGGCAGTTCCTCATGACTCTGGATAGATTAAAACTTCTTAACGAGGCTTACAAGACCTTCAGTGACAGAGCCCCTGCTCACCACCCCGGCCTCATCTCAAGATCACTCTGGAGCCCCCGACCACCCTCAACTCCGCTATAGCCACTGGGCCACAGATGGTTCTGGAACACACAGAGCTCCGTTCCCCTATGTGCCTCTGCACGTGTCGTTGCCTCCTCTAGGAGCGGCACGGTGCACACTCACCCCTCTGCCTGGCTCGCTAACTTCTCCTAATTCTCGTTTCAGCTCAAACCTTCTCTCTCGGGAAACCATCCCTGGCCTCCCGAGGCTGAACGAGGTGCCCCTTCTGTGCAGTCTCTGTCGTGCCATTTAATCACCCATTTTCTTAACTGTCACCATTTCCAGACTTTAAGTTCCTTGAGGTCAGGAATTGTGTGTATATCTTCGTGTTCCCAGAGCCTAACACTGCCTGGCCTGTGGCAGGCACCCAATAAATCTTTGCTGAATAAATGGATGAAAGAAAGAGAGGGAGAAGGAGGGAAGGAGAAAGACAATCAGCACCCTGGGGCCGAGGCTGCCCTTGTCACGGGCGAGTGAAACCTGGTAAGTAGGAACACACCACACGCCCACCCAGCCACCGCCACAGGACACGCACGGACACGTGTGCACTCGTGTGGGAGGCTCGGCAGGGGGCCTCCGCTTCCCCACACCTGTGCGCATATCCGTTCATGCGGCCACCTGAACTGTGCTTGCCACGTGCCAGAAGGAGGAGCAGCAGGCACAGGACAGTGGCACTTCATAGAGTGGGGACAGCCTGGCCACTGCCAGGCTGGAGGAGTGAGCACGCAGACACCTGGTCCTGGGCCCACGGGGGAGGGGCCGTCCCCCAGCTCCCTGCGGGTTCCAGGCTCGGGCCTGAGTCCCCACTTCCGGCCCCTGCACCTCCTCGTGGGCTGGCAGGAGGGCGGGCTCCTCTCCGGCTGCATTTTCTGCTCCCCAGGGGGTGCCTCAGTGAAAGTGAACTCGCTCATTTAAACCTGACTCTGCAGCCCTGCGGCCCCCTGCAGCGCTAATTACCCTGTAGTTCTAAACTGATTGCTGTACACTAAGCTTAAGCCCTCCTCCATTTATTTACTGACTACATTAATAGCAAAGCCACGCTGCTTCCAGCCCACTCCCCACTGTACATCGGCTGGCTGCACGTTGTTCTCCTGCGTCCCCCAGTGAGGCAGGGCGCAGAGACGCTGCCTGGCGCAGAGACCCCAAACCCCCTGCCCGGACTAGCCCCCGGGCCAGACAGCATCGGGAAATCACTGCCTCCATTCATACCTACTCCCGGACCCCACGGGGCTCCTTCTCTCGCTCTGACTCTTCAACAGCGAGCAGGACGCAGCGCGGCAGCTCGCCAACCAGGGGGATCTTCCAGAGTGACAGGACGCTCAGAACACAGGTCCTGGGGGTGCTCGCCCAGAATTGGGGACTAGAGCCTTTCCTTCATTGTCAGTAGCCTTTACCAGGGCAGACCTAAGTCAAACCTTCACCACCAACACCCCGCTCCCCTGGGGCAGTCTGGGGGGTGGCGGCCAGCCGCCGGCTCCCACATTGCCGCGTCCTGCCTGTTCTCCCCCTCGAGGGTGCGGGAGAACCCACAGCCATGCTTCCGTCCCGCCCGCTTCTCTGAGCACCCTCAAGTTCCCTGAGGCAGAGCTGGGCCCTGGCCCTGGGGCACAGCCGCATCCTGAAGACCAGACGGGCACCATCAGGGCACCATGCACACAAGCACCCAGGCTCCACTTGGATTCTAGATAGCTCGGCAGTGCCGTGCTGGGCGCCTCTGAGGAAGAGGCAGCTGGGGTTTGGCAGAAGGAACCTGGGACTCGATCAGGAGGACCTGGGTTTGAGGCCAGCTCTGCCATGACTGCGGGACCTTGACTGCATCTCAGAGCCTCCCTGAGGTCCTCTCTCCTCAGCTGTAAAACGTGGACAGTGGTTACCTGGCCCCTCCACCCTCAGGACAATTGTGAAGCCAACTAGAGTAAGGCGCGTGAATCCGCTTTCTGAACACTACGGTGCTGTGAAAACAGGACTTATAAGTGGGGGCAGGCTCAGGCTGGCCTGGAAGGAGAGCCGGTGTCCTAGGCATTTATTTCCAGGACAGGAGCCCACGCAGCGGGACGGGACCCAGGATGGAGCAAGGGGCTTTGGGGTGAGCGCAGGTGCTGCTGGCATCGCCGGGGCTCTGTCCCCACCTAGCGGGCGCTGGCTGCAGGTGCTTCTGCGGCTCCGGCCGGCTGGAAAGCAACTGGGATTGTGCCTCTCCTTGAAAGCCACCTTGGTGCCTTTGGATTCCCTGCTCTACAGGATGGGGGTAGGGCTGAGTAAGGGGAGAGTGCAGTCCAGATTTATGCCAGAGAAGAAACGATTTAAACTACTTAGGGGAAGTTCAGTT